TTCTCCACTAGCTGGATGGTTACCGTGTTGGCTTGAAAAGCCTGAGAAGGCTTGAGCCATAAGTTCGAATTCAAGTCGTTCCCTCTTTCTTTTTAATTTTTTAAATGATTTTTTTTGTTAGTCTAGCTCTATTACAAACTTAATTACATAAATGACTTAAACTAATTGATACAAATACGCTTAATATAACTTTTTTTAAAAGTTTTTTTTTTTAATTTTCTTGTTTTTAATTTTTTATCTTTACCTATCTCTTAGTCTATTCACTATATGGACGGTTGTGAACGTCTTTCTCCATTCCTCCGTCCATTCTTTTATCTTGTCCTTCTATCGCTTTCTCTGTCTGCCTCTTCTTCTTTTTCCTGGTACTGTTCCCTGAAGGAAGTCTTTGCGAGCCCCGATGATCTTCATTTGAAGCTGGCCTTTTTTTTACGACAGTTAGCATGTCATCATGGGATCCAATCGCTGCAGTAACCCTGTCTCTAATCTCTTGTTTTGTAATGTGGTCTTTGAATCTGGATCTGGATCAAGACTGTTGAACTCGCTATGGTTTACTGTTAATGTTATCCTTTATCAATATTATCTATCGACAGCCTGTACTGCTGACACAGTATATGTCTATATAAATGTTGTCGGCACTGCTTATACATAGAAGAGAGCCACGGGAAATACTACATTCCTCATTAATCTTCGAACTCGAAGACAAGCCTTATTATTATTATTATTATTATTACAAGTCGACCCACGGCGTAGCATACGCCGTTATTTTGCAGAGCCGGCCTTAGGCCAATGCAACCTAAGCGATCGCAGTGGACCCGCGCTATTTCTAGGTGTAAATTATTAAATTAAACCATAACTTATAACAGAATTCCCGCAGCCTCCTGATTTACCTGGAGCTCATTGAAATCTCCTGAAATTGCAAAATATACGAAAAAGTCATGAAAAACTCCGGAAATTATTAAAATCTTTTGAAAACTCAAAAAAAAAAGAAATTCCTGAAATATATAGACAAAAATTTTAATTTTGGGTGTCATTTAAAATAGAAAACGCCAATCCTACGCGCGATGAAAAATAAATAGCATTATGCAATACCCGTAATTGTGGAATCTGGTGAAAGAAGCTTCTCGCGTCTCAAACTAATGAAGAATTACTTGAGGTCAAAAATACTCTTAGATAGATTGAAACATTTGGTAATTCTTGCTATTGAGCGTGATCTATGTAGGAAATAGAATTTTTAATTCTGTGCGTAGTAAAGAATGAATATAAATGCAAAGACGAATATATTTTCTAATACAAACTCTTAATTTTCACTTATAATCCGTATCCCTACCCAAACTGGGCCTCGCGAATACCGTTTCACAATGGTTAAGTCCGGCCCTGCTATTTAGTGACAGGTGAATACACAGTAGATTACTTGTTGTCCTCACCCCCCCCCCTCTTTTTTTCGCATACCGCTAAAACTACGTGGGGTAGAAATAAAAAGAGTGATGTTTCCCTGACTTCTTGGTCACAACGGTTAAGTCTGCTATTTTGTGACAGGTGAATACTACTTGTTCTCCCCCGCCACCCTTTTTTTTCTTAGGGTAACTCTAGTTCGTCCGTCTTGTAGAAATAAAAGAGTGATCTTTCTTTTACTTCTTCTTGCGTGTCCAAACTCTTGAGCCATGAAAAGAATTATATATATAGAAGATTTTTATTATTGTTATTATTATTATCATTATATGTGAACAGACTGTATTTCTGACACAATCTTTTGTTAAAGGTCATTACCCTAAAATGTACTACATCACTCTTGTGATTAATTCCGATTAATTACTTCGTTTTGTTGTTGTTGTTGTTGTTGTTTGGGGGGTAGGGGGACGTCAAATAGTGGAGAAAGATTCTAGACTAAGTTCAAATATATTCATTGTTTGTTCTTTACAGAAAACTCCAAAGTAAATCCTTGACGCAAGACTGACGCTTTCATAACATCTTTGAGGTCACCACGATGGATGCTGTCAATGAGGAGGACACACTTCATAAAAGCTTTTTACAATCGCTATAGTGTTTTGGGGAATTAGTTTTCATTTAATTGATCATCAATATCAAAAGTCTTATGAAACTAAAACAAATTGTTCCAGGCCAACACGCTTAAAGAACTCGTTAAGCCTCATGACTTAATGAAGACCAACAAAGTTTTGTTAATTTAAGAAGATATAATTTATAATACCATTCATTTAAATATGGCCAGTCGAAAACGCCATAAAAAACAAAAGAATCAAAGTATAAGTATTTTGTCCAAAGCAAGACAAAGTCCAGAACAAATAAAAGATTTGTTTCCAAACGTTGACTGCATTTATCCTGGAGGTAGAACTTTGTTGACTCTAGCCATAGAGAACGGGGAGGACATCAGTCTCGTCGAAGCTTTTATTAAATCTGGTGCTGATGTCAATGTACAGAACTCTAAAGGTCAAACTGCCCTGATGTTTGCTGCCAGAGCTCAGAGAAATGACGTTTTACAGAAGTTGTTAGAAAACGAGGCTCAAGTTGATCTGCTCAATGATAAAAACTTGACAGCACTTTCCATTTGTATAGCAGAAAACAATATAGATGGAGTTAAACATTTGGTCCAGTCTGGCGCTGATGTCAATTTGAAAACAGGCAAATTACAAGAAACTGCATTAGCACAAGCCAAAAGACTGGGTAGTATTCATGTGATGGATCTTTTAGAGCGAAGTTATTTTAGTCTTACTGATATATCTCTACAATCTAGTGCTTTATTTACAGCTGAGCAAAGGAGTGCTCGAAGTAAAGAAATAACAGTGAACACAAATGAAAAACTAAGACTTTGTTTGACTAAATTTTCAAATTTGAAACACTGTAAAGACAATGGCCAGAAAATTGGTTTTAAAACGTTTCGCAAATTAGCTGATGTTTTTGAGAAAAACGGCAGACTTAACTGTCAGGACTCATCAGGAGCAACTTTATTAATTTATGCATCGATGCAAGGGTCACGTGAAAGTTTGGAATATATTTTAAACTTAAACCCAGATGTTAATGCAAGAGATTGTAAAGGAAGAACTGCATTAATGTATGTCTTTATTTCTGGAATGAACATTTCAAAGTTGAGTTTGTACCAAGTAATAGGGGATTCCCCCTGCGTTCAAGACCAGTATGGAAAAACGGCTTTGATGTATGCATTCAAAAATAAGTATCGCTTGCCTCCCCTTAGTGTGAAAGTGCTTCACGGTGGAGCATTAATCCGATTTGTTAAGGAGATGAACGTGGTTTTGGTTTATGATGTCCCTGAGACAAATATACACAATGATAATTGTGTCATTGTAGACAAAGACGGTAGAACACATTTGATGTTTGCGATAGAGAACATTCCGAGCCCCGATCTTCATATGTTAAAAGAAATTTGTGATAACCAATTAAATGTTCAAGAGAAATCATTCGGGCTTTCTGCTCTAATGTATGCAGTTTATTACAACACAGACTTGATCCCATTTCTTTTAGACTGTGGGGCTGATAGAAATTTACAAGATAAGGAAGGAAAAACTGCTTTTGTCTTAGCGCTGGAGATGAAATGGAATTTACCTTTAGCTCTTTTGAAAGAGTTGGCAACAATTGAGGTGATTCACACAAAAGATGTGCATGGTAGGACAGCACTTATGTATGCCATTGAACATTTCCATTCAAACCAATTAATTGAACATATTCTAAGTCTTGGAGCTGATGTTGGTGTACAGGACAAAGATGGCATGACCGCTCTTATGATAGTGTTCAAAACGTCTTTAAAGTTATGGGGTTCAATTCTTACGAAATTAGCTTCAAATGATATAAACAAACAGGACTGTTTAGGTAAAACAGCTTTAATGTATGCAACTAAATATGAAGCTTCGGAAGATTGTTTTAAAATCTTGATGGAGTGTGGAGCTGATATCAACATTTACGATTTATCTGGGAGCACACCATTAATGTATTTACTTAATTGCACTAAGAATATCTGTAGAGCGAGATCTAGTATTTTGAATGACACGGATATTTTTTTATTCAGGAATACATTTTTGGACTTCCATCGTGTGCACCAGCCAATGAAATGCTTTCAATGTCTGAGTGCAGAGCTTCACAATTTAGTTCATCAGAAATTAAGTTCAAGAAATCGTGAAATAATTGTTACATATTTACGGAATCACCAAAGAGATTCTTTAAACTGGTATTACTCTAATGACCTAAAATTGTTAAGACTTTTATGGCGTATTGGAGTTTACTTAGAGCCGGAAGTCGTGAGAAGAGGTCACGTGACAGAAACATCTCCATTTCGTGTTGCTTTGGAATTGGGTCATGTCGATATAACCAAATATATTTTGCTCAATAATTATATGACCAACAAGGACTTGAAATTTCTAAGACAGTTTAATTTATATTCGTTGAACATTTTAACATTTTCTTTTTTTGTAAGATTTTCAACTGACGCTATTGACTTTGCAAAGTCTTTAAGATCCCAACCATTCTCCTTGGTCAAGCTGAGCTTCATCGCAGTCTCAACGTGTATTGGTTTATATGGAGACAGAGATGAACGCGTAGCAAAACTTCCCATTCCACAGATATTAAAAAACTATCTTTCATTCCTATCTCCGGAGGCTGAAATCTCTGTTTGCGATTTTAAAAAATATTTTTAAATAAGACTAGCACATTATTTTTATGCCAGATAGGTACGCTTTGTATTTTAAATGCCAGCAATTTTGACAATTTTTAGAACTATTTAAGCAATTGGAATCAGTAAATGTGACCCTTGGCCTAGAGATCTATATTGTAGCCTATGTGTTTACCTCTAGGCTACTGCCAAGCGTGACCCTTAACCTCCATCTGTATTAATCCCATGACGCTAGTAGTTTGTGTGTGTGTGTTTAAGTGGGTAAACAAAATCAAAGCTTTAAATTGTGAAGATCGAGATAAAAGTAAGTCTTTTAATGTTTCCTATCAACAAATTAGAATCTTCTCTACACTGAGGAAACAGGATTTTTATGATTTTTTTTTTGCGGTTTGGTTGTAACATTTTTCTTTTTCTATTTTCTTAATTAATTATCATTGATTATTGAGAGTGAAGTAATCGCTCTTACAAACAAAGTCATCATTTCATGTTATTTCTTAAAGAAACGTGTTCTAGACCAATGTTTACCAACCTTTTTCCTTAACGGATTACTTCGCACATCCTGAACATTTAGCGGAACACTTTGATTATTTTTTTAGAGAGATTTTAAATCACGTGGTGGCCTATTAGTTAATTATTACAATAGTTCTTGGAACACCTAATTCAGGCATCTCGGAACACGGGTTTTTGGCGAATAGTTAGGGAAAAATTGTTCTAGAGCATTCCACTTCACCTAATATATGTTGGTGGTTCAAAACAATTTTTTTACAATATCTTCATCAGATTCTTATTGCCTAGTCAAACTGACCTAAATACACTGTGTCACAACCTGAATTACTGATGTAGAACCTACCTTGTATAATGCTTAGTATTTAGTGGAGATGGTGATTGTCTGCATCTTACAATCATATGTAAAATAAGAAATAATGCTTGACTATTTATTTTCATGAATAATAATAAAATATTTCTTATTAAGATGTTCACCTGTACCTTTTGTATGTATACTATCTTTATCCTTCGATCTATAAATTAATTAATCATATTAGATTGCACTTGATAACAAAAATAAATATATATTTTAAAATAAATTTATGGCAAGGTCAATCACTGCAACCGGCTGACGACTCTATATCATTTCTGGATAACTAACCCAAAATGTGGTGTTTTTTTTTTCATTACAACCTTTGACCCTAATTACTCTGAGATCATGGATCATAGAAGCTGACAATAAGAAAGCGAAGACAAGGCCAACCGCGTATAACATGGCGTCGCACTTTCTTAACCTAAAATCTCTTGTCACCAGCAGGAAAGAGTCTGTACTAGTCGCCTCTCAGGGCCGGCCTTAGTCATAGGCAAACTTTTGTTGACGGACCTCTCACAGGATTCTAAGAAAAAAAGTTGGGAAAAAATTGTAAAACTTGCCATCAAAGTTATTGTTGGAGTTTACTAGTTTTTTAATACATTGAGTGATTTTAATGTTTTTTTAGCGGCCTCCGTGAGGGAAAAGCCGCAATTAGGTTTGTACAAAATGTCTACTGACCCACTAAGAAAACTAGAAGAGAAATAAATTCATATTTCACTTGCGTTGTGGCTTTCAAAGTTTGCAACGGCTACTTTTGTTTTCTAAAAGCAAACTGTCTTGTTTTTAACATTAATTATGCAAAGCGATTTTTTCAACAACAAAAAATACACCACTTCTAAAAACAATACATCAATGAAAGGGAGACAACTTCTACAATATGTTAACAAAGAAATAATAGTGTGTATTAGCTTTATCACCTATTTATAGACATCTGTAAATGTACAAGAAATGTTCACAACAAATATAAATATTAATTAACTGTGCTTATTCTGGCAAACTAGCTACTAAAATTAAAAAAAAAAACTTTTTTGTTTCTTTATAAAGGCTTAGAATACATTTTGTATGTAAATGTTAAGCACTTTTTTTTAAATCGACTGTCTGCTGCACTGCTATTGTGCAGTAGTTTAACGGCCGCATCCAATCATCAAATAATGGCCTCCTCAATAAAGTTTAATCAGAATTATTTTCTTAGTGCCTCCGTTAGGATGAAAGTCGTATTCTTTAGTGCGTTTGCGTTCTGTCTGTCATTCTGTCTGTCCGTCATGTTTAGATCACAAAATAAAAAGAGTAAAAGGCTGCTGAAGATCTGGAAGCTGATCTCACCTTTAATTTTCCTTCCAAAACATTGCAATACTTTTAGCATCTATAATTGGTTGTTCTGGATGTTGTTGTGGACAGCAAATGAATGCCAACGAGAATGTTTGTTATTTCTCTTCTAACTTCTATTACATTTCAGTCTCTTGTTGAAACGTCTCAAAAACTCAGGACGTAAATAATTTGTACCGGAGTTTTAAAAATACTATCTTTATCCTTCGCTCTACAAATTAATTAATCAAATTAGATTGCACTTGATAAAAAAAACAAATATTTCAAAATAAATTTATGGCAAGGTCAATCATTACAATGACTTATATTTCATAGCCTAAGAAGTCTTCCCCAATATTTTTGTTTTAAATAAAAGTTACGTCAAATGATTGTTTGAAAGTCGCATATCTGACTTCTATTACACGTTACTATTATTGGACACTAATGCCTAGTATGCACGTCAAATCTCTCGGTTTGAAAAAGACATTTTAGTCTATGTAAGCTGTGTGACTTAATATAAACTTTTTTTTTTATTTGACGTCATTTTTGGTATCATTTAATTAAATGAAACGCTAGAAAAACTCGTCATCTTTCTCGTGTTTGAAAAGACATTTTTTAAAATTTTAACTAGGTCAGATAATTTAGTGGAAATGTTTGTTGTTGTTTATTTTCGTTTACCGTCATATAGAATGAATTCTTTAAATGAAATGCTAAAATAACTTGTGCGTCTATGTCTAGTAACCCTCATCAACTCTCTCATGTTGATAAAGACATTTTGTTGTCTAACAGGGCCGTAAGACGTAATGGAAAAATTTTTTTTTTCTTTGACGTCACTGGTAATGATTTAAGCTAAAAATAAATGCTATTAAAATATTCGTGTTTTTCTTTGACGTCATTTGAATTGATTTTATTTTTAAAAAATACTACAAGAACTAGTGTGCCAAACTCTATTATAAGCAATGTGACTTAGAAAAGTTTATATATATTCATTCGAGGGCCGCTTTTGAGTTTTTGATAACCCAAACTCCATCTTGTTTTTTTAATTTATTTTTCTATTTCATTTGCGTTACCAGATTCACTTTGCCTAGGGCACCTATTATCTAAGGCCGGCCCTGCGCCTATGGTCGATCTCTGTGGATAGATCTAGCTGTCCTATGCTCCTAACAGCGAGGGAGGATTTAAGTCTAAATATGCATATACAATATACACTCACTCACAAACTAATTCTCCCACATCCCGTGGACGATAAAATGCGTTTAAAAGTACAAAATTACAATTCCCCCCCCCCCGCTTTGTACACTTAATACAATTGTGTGTGTGTATGTGTGCGTAACCTTCTTTCGTTTCATTTTTACAATACGTCTGTTCCAGTCACACCTTCATGGAACCTGGATAAGTGAAACCTGCACATCGATATTTTAAAACGGCTCTAACGATTTGAACCAGTTGATGTATTTCACTGAGAATAGAATGACTAGCTTGTCTGGCACACTGTTTAGTAAAAAAGAAAATAAAAAACAAAATTTGGCTAGAGAACTAGATCTAGATCTAGATTCAGCATCGGTTTTGAAAAGACTATCGCGTCCTTGAAAATTTGAAAGTACTATAGCGTTTGGAAATTTCCGAATGTAATACATTATTGATTCAAGAATTTGATAAATTAATGCTCAGGAAAATTTTTCGCCTGGTTTTCTAAGTATTGATCTAAAGACCTATCATTTTAAAATGTAGTAGATCTTTACATGCGCTTAACAAGGATTCTTTCTTGGGGTGGGTAGGGGGAGGGGTAGAAAATGTTCCATTGTTTTTTATCCAACATTAATTAGTCAGTAATTAAGAGAAAGGTAAGTTGTATAAAGAGGTATTGTCTTTTCAAAAAGGTTTTTTAAGTATGTTTTTTGTTTTTCTAAAAATTTGAATCAAATTAAAATGAGATTAGGCCCATTGAGGAAAAGAATCAATTAGCTAGTAAACAAATAATAATTATCATCTATATGCATTCTTCTTCATGAAACAATGAAAAAAAAATTTTTTTTTAAATTTAAATTATTGCTTTATTTTATACATAAAAGAGAAAATAGATTCTCCAGTGAAAGAAAATGTTCCCGCCATATACTAATCGCAAAAAAATGTCCGGCACGTAATGTATCTTCGCTTGAATGCTTTAATCTATACAAATAATTCTCTTCATGGCCCCACAGTCTGGACACCACTAAGAAGTCATGGAAATACCATTCTTTTATTTCTGCAAGTCGGACTAGAGTTACCCCACGTAACTAAAGTGGAAAAAAAAGAGGGGGGGGGAGAACAAGTAGTATTCACCCGTCATTTAAAAGCAGTGCCGGACTTAACCATTGTGACGAGAAGCCATGGAAAGATCACTCTTTTCTTTCTGCAAGTCGGACTAGAGTTACCCCACATAACTTTAGTGGCGACAAAAAAGAGGGGGGAGAGAACAAATAATCTACTCTGTATACACCCGTCACTAAATAGCAGGGTCTGACTTAACCATTATGGGGCACAATGCGAAACGGATTTCGAGGGGGCCAAGTTTGGGTAGGGATATGGATAATAAGTGAAAATGAAGAGTTTGTATTTTATTCATTCCTTACTACGTACAGAATTACTTTACGAGCCTTGCGTGTAGTGAAGTCATACTGTATATAATAAATATTGTATTTCCTACATAGAAAACGCTCAATAGCAAGAATTGTCAAATGTTTCATTTTATATCTACGAGAAATTGTTGACCTCAAGTAATTCTTCATTAGTTTGAAGAGCGAGAAGCTTCTTTCACTAAATCCACAATCTTTTTGTTATCGCGGGTAGGATTGACGTTCTCCATATTGAATGACACCTCAAAATGACAATTTTTGTCTATATATTTCAGGAGATTTGTATGAGTTTTCAAAAGATTTTAATAATTTCTGGAGATTTCCAGAACTTTTTCGTATATTTTGCAATTTTAGGAAATTTCCAGGGTTAATTTAATAATTTACACCTAGAATTAGCGCGGGTCCTACAAAAGTGCAAAACCCACTGTGGTCGCATATGTTGCAGTGGCCTAAGGCCCGCACTGCAAAATAACGGCATATGCTACGCCTCGACAGGTCTGGGAAACTGAAAATTCTCGACCTGTATGGTGACATATACGCTTTACGCAAGACAGCAGGGTTTCTGTCCAGGGCTTTCGCAAGAGAGGATTTAAGCCTCTCAAGCCCCACTCAAATGGATTTTGATGATGATGATGATGACGCCGTGGGTCGACTAGTATCCAATACTGTACTATTGGCAACACGTAACACTAACTGTGAAATGTTCTAGATATCTGAACCGTCCTATCAACTCTGTACTGTAGGAGAAACTCTAATGGCTTCTATGTACTGTTGAACTCTGCCGTAAAGTACTGAACTAACTAGTAGATCGGGAAGTTGTGACTGGCTCAACTCTAATACCTTCGCTCTTTATATAGGAGCCCTAATGACCTTCTCGAACCGGACGGAACATCGCTTGATTCTTCTGGTTAATCACATTACCACATCTCTCATGAATGTCCTGAGTTCTATTCACAACACCGATCTTTCCCGAACTCTCAGGCCTGTCCATTCTTGAATGTTCCAATCTTCTCTTGTCTTCTGCCTTGACTAGATATTTCAACGTCAGGCCTGTCCATTCTTTAATGTTCCACTCTTCTCTTGTCTTCTGCCTTGACTAGATATTTCAACGTCATGCCTGTCCATTCTTGAATGTTCCACTCTTCTCTTGTCTTCTGCCTTGACTAGATATTTCAACGTCAGGCTTGTCCATTCTTGAATGTTCCACTCTTCTCTTGTCTTCTGCCTTGACTAGATATTTCAACGTCATGCCTGTCCATTCTTGAATGTTCCACTCTTCTCTTGTCTTCTGCCTTGACTAGA